TGGGTGGGGGGGGGGGGGGGGGGGGGGGGGGGCGTGACAATTACTATTTGTATATCATTGGCTTATAAGTCTTAATTTCATGGATAATATTTTATATTATTGATACCTATCTCTTATCATTCGTAAAAGTTTGACTAATTTATTTGTATCATCAAACATTTTAATTAAATTTTCAGTTCATTGGCTTATAAGTCTTAATTTCATGGATAATATTTTATATTATTGATACCTATCTCTTATCATTCGTAAAAGTTTGACTAATTTATTTGTATCATCAAACATTTTAATTAAATTTTCAGTTATCGATTTAATTAAATTTTTGGATCGATCATCAAATGAGAATGATGCTACTCGATTTTCAATTTTATTTTCTGTGTCATATATATAAAGATGTGCAAATTTCAGAGAATTATTATTAACTGGTAGTAGAGATCCTACAAGATGCTACACTTGTCCACTTATTTTAAAAATATATGGACCATCTGAGTTTATTGTATTTGTTTCGATATTAGCTCCAAACGATGTGAATGCAAACATAGAATTATATGTTCGAATATTTTTACGAAAATGTGTACTTTTTGGCCCTCCATAATAATCGAGTAATTTATCTAAGGTAGGCGGAGTTTTTCAATTAGAGGTAAAATAACATTTCTATCTTTATAGCAAAGATTAAATTTAGGAGGACTACTGTTTTTGATTCGTTCACTAAACCAGAAGAGAGAACAACAATGTTGACAGGTGCAAGAACAGTCTCCAAGATCAATGTACATATTAGTAACACCTATAAGAAGAAATTAAAGATGATGATAAAGAATATATAGTAAATTAGTATTGTCATTATATAAAGATTTCGTAATTATTTAAATCTAATAGTTAATATAGATAAGGGAATTACATTTTTTATTATCGTTTCTAGATGTTGATGAAATTGATAACTCAGGAATTTGTCTTTGAGACTGGAAAAATGCCAGTATCGTGTCAAGTTTGGATCAAGAGATCCTTGCTGATGCAGGCTCAATATTTTTGACTTGTTTAACTCGGATAACATTATTTGTATTGATAAAATGTTGATCCATTTGTGAAATGATACGACGTATACGTTGATTTAATCGTGATATTTTCTTGTGATTTTTTTATCCATCTGTTAATTACAATATAAATTATTTCAGCAATTAAAAAGAGGAAGAAAATCTATTTATCTAAGTAATCTATACATAGTTAACTATGATATATCAAAATTGGTAATAATTAGTTAGACAAATAATTCTGTCAATTCATTTTATTGTCGTATATATTAAGAATGTTAATATTTATAACAGTCACTTAATAACTAATTTTGATTAAAAAACACATTAAATTACATATAAACAATGATCACATATTTACAATGATAAAGATCTGAAATTAACAATGTTAAGTAGAATTATATAAAAAAACAGATTAATAAAATAAAAATAATACATAAATGAAATTTATATACAAATGAAGCAATAAATTTAAATCTCCGGATCTTATAGCTGCTCCCTCCTTTATAAATGAACAAACAGATTAAAAGTTCTCTACAACAAAATTTAATTATATAATTTTTATAGAAAGAGAAAAAAGAAGGTTAAAAAATCAGGAAGAATATAAATAAATAAATAAATAAATAAATAAGTGAACGAAAAAAATATGAGGAAAAAATATTATTAAAATATAAATATAGTAATACTTTTATGTAGTAATTGTGGCTAAGATATTTAATAGGATTAATTTTAAAATTTTTTACCCAACTATGACTCTTGTAACACTTTATCTTCTAAATTTTAGAAAGTAACATTGATTCCTTTTGAATTTTGTTCCGTTAACAAGTTTTATCATTATATTATAATAAGTGATGGAAATCACCACGTGTCAAGTACATGATCTATCTGATGAGGGTATTATCGTAAATTAACCTACAACAACCCTATGTCATTAAAAAAGCATTAAAAAAACTCAAATGTGTTAAAAAAAAAACCCCCCATTTTGTCGATTTTTTTGGTTGTGTTTGGGAACTTTTCCCCCATAAAGAAAAATCTGAGGAAAAATCAATCTTCATTGTAAATTTCCGTGGTGAATCACTCTCAATGGCTGCAACATGAGGAAATATTGGTGATTTTAATCATATTGACAGTAAGTTTGCTCATTATTTCCTTTATTTGTTGTGTTTTTCTGAATACTTGCTAAATATGTTTGTTAATTATAAGGTTCAATTTTAAAAATTCCCCTTAAACTAAAATAGAATCAACCCACAATCCCAATCAAACTCAAATTAACAAGATTAAACTCAAATATACAAAAGCTTTTTTGCCCAATGTTAAACGATTTACGTTATACGAAATGCAACGATAAAATTGTCTTCTCAGATTCTTCTTTGTGTGTGATGTCTTCACTACTGGATCTAACCCATATCAACATTGAATAGGACCTCAAATTTCTTCATTTACCCTGTTGTTGCCACCACTGTTTGTAGTGTAGGAACTTGCCATGAATGAACGAGGTGAGAAAAAAAAAGAAGCAAAATGGAAACAAAGATGGTGAATTTTTCAATAAAAATGGGAAAATATTTGATTGGGAGGGTATAAGTGTAATTATGTTTTCAATTCTCACTAAATAAGTGACACGTGACAATTTCGTCACTCATTGTAACAAAAGGATAAAACTTCTTAACGGAATAAAGTTTGGGAGGAACGAATGTTACTTTTTAAAATTCGAGAGGAAAGTGTTACAAGGGTTAAAGTTCGGGAAGAATTTTTAAAATTAATCTTATTTAATATTCTTAGCAATACGTGACAAATACAATTGACTTATATATTTGTGTCTATTTTGTAGCTTCATATTTAAATGTTTTACATAAAATAAAAAACACTAATGATAATTGCACAAAAGCACAAAAATTAATAAGTTATTATATATGTTACATAATTTGTTATCTATATAATACAAAATATATGACTGAAGTAAAATATAATATATGACATCTTTTAAAAAATTTTTATTATAACAAAAAATATTAAATGTGACATTTTAAAAAAAAATTTAACTATAAAAATTTAGAATTAAAAACTTGAATTATTGAAACGAACATATCATAATAATTTCACGATTTCGTGCATTTTATAAAAGTGCCCCCAAAGAATTAGACAATTCCCCAAATTGACCCAATCTCCATAAATTGCCATTGTGCAAATATATTTAAGCCGCTCAAACTAACAGTCCATTTCTCTAGCAATACCAGTAGTATGATCGGCCATTGATGAAGACCCAGATGATGAGAAACCTCACACTTCTTCTTCTCCTCGCATTCGTCCTGTGTTCTTCAGTCCTCTCATGGAAGAAGGAAGAGTTCAGGACCTGTAACCAAACCCCTTTCTGCAAGCGAGCCAGAGCTCGCAAGCCCGGCTATTCCTCTCTCTCCGCTCGCGAAATCCGCATCGAAAATGGTGACCTCAAAGCCAAGCTCATTCCCACCCAAAATCACGAAAACCCAGAAGATCAACATCACTCCAAGCCGTTGATTCTCACTCTCTCCGTCTACCAAGACGGAATCGTGCGGCTGAAGATCGACGAGGACCCGAATTTGGACCCACCCAAGAAGCGGTTTGAAGTCCCTTATGTGATCGTGGAGGAGTTTGATCAGACGAAGCTCTGGCTGCAGACGCATTCAACGGAGGCGGACCCATCATCATCATCATCATCATCTTCGGTCGTTTACGTATCCGACGGCTACGAAGCGGTTCTCCGGCACGACCCGTTCGAGGTTTATGTCCGGGAAAAGGGAGGTAAGAGTGTGATCTCTTTGAACTCTCATGGGTTGTTTGACTTTGAGCAATTGAAGGTGAAAAAACAAAATGGCGATGAGAATTGGGAAGAGAGATTTAGAGGGCATACTGATACTAGGCCATTTGGGCCTCAATCTATTAGCTTTGATGTGTCATTTTACGGAGCTGATTTTGTTTATGGAATTCCTGAACATGCCACTAGTCTTGCTCTTAAGCCCACAAGGGGACCTGGTGTTGAGGAATCTGAACCTTATAGGTTGTTTAGTTTGGATGTGTTTGAGTATATTCACGAATCGCCTTTTGGCCTTTACGGGTCGATCCCGTTCATGATTTCCCACGGGGAAAGGACTTCCGGGTTCTTTTGGTTGAACGCTGCTGAGATGCAGATTGATGTTCTTGCGTCTGGATGGGATGCTGAGTCCGGCATTTCCCTGCCGTCCTCGCAGAGTAGGATGGATACGTTTTGGATGAGCGAGGCGGGTGTTGTGGACGCCTTTTTCTTTGTTGGTCCGGGGCCTAAAGATGTTGTGAGGCAGTATACTGGTGTGACTGGTAGGCCTTCAATGCCGCAGCTATTTGCAACTGGTTATCACCAATGTAGGTGGAATTATAGGGATGAGGAGGATGTGGAGAATGTTGATTCAAAGTTCGATGAGCATGATATTCCTTACGATGTTTTGTGGCTCGATATCGACCATACTGTTGGGAGGAGGTACTTCACGTGGGATAGAGCTCTTTTCCCACATCCGGAAGAGATGCAGAGGAAGTTGTTTGCTAAGGGTAGGCACACGGTGACTATTGTTGATCCACATATCAAGCGGGACGACTCATATTTTTTGCACAAGGAGGCATCTCAGAAGGGTTATTATGTTAAGGATGCCAATGGGAATGATTTTGACGGGTGGTGTTGGCCTGGTTCATCTTCCTACCCGGATGTGTTGAATCCTGAGATTAGGTCTTGGTGGGCCAATAAGTTCTCTATCAAGAATTATGTTGGCTCCACTCCTTTGCTGTATGTCTGGAACGACATGAATGAGCCTTCTGTTTTCAATGGTCCAGAAGTAAGCTGCTTTTTTGCCCTTATGCTCTTCATTCTTTGGTTAAAACGATATTTCTTTTGCATATATATTGAGTTAAAAAAAAAGGGGTTCATGATGGCATTTTCTTTTGGTTCTTTTCCTTCCTTCTTGTTTGTATTAATCATTATGTCTGCAACTGTTTCGGTTTTCCTCTTTGCTAGTTTAATATTTGAGGAAACATGCATTAAGTTGTTGCCTGATAATAGGGTATGAAATGCTAATACTATAATATGAATTTGATGCATTCTCATTTTGATGGTCACATCGGCCTTTGTCCAATAACAGTATGTCACGTTGTTGATTGGGATCCATATAATACTGCATAACTCAAAAGAGAAAAAAGAAATGTTTTTAGTATGGCCAAAAATGCTAATAGTGATTGTTACCATTGATGGTATTTATTTAAAACTTCTTTTGAGGTCGGTGGGGAGTCAAGTGTAGTAGGGGGCGTTCCAGAAGAGGAGGAGGAAAATTGGCAGATAACTAGGGTAAATCTAAGTAATACTGTCTCAATTGGAGGTAAAAAGGTTGAGTGGAGAAAGGTGAGTGAAGTTCTTTAGAAGATGCAAATCCAACTGACAACATCTAAGAACATTGAAGGGGATAGAGGTCAGTTAGGAGAAAAGGAAAGGAGAGAGAATTGAAGAATTTGGAGTTTAATGTTCATTATGAGAAGAACGTTAATGGGGATGTAAGAGGTGATTTATGAAGTTGATGTCTTGGAATATTAGAGGAGGAAATTCCTCCCTAAAGAGAAGGGGAATTCGGGAGGTAGTATGTAAGGAAGCTCCAGATGTTATGATTCTTCAAGAAGTTAAGCGTAGAGAGGTAGATAGAAGATTTGTGGGTAGCGTTTGGCAGTCAAGATTTAAGAAGTGTTGCTACTGGCTGAGGGCCACTCAGGGGGAATTTTGGTTGTTTGGGATGTTAGAAGGATTAAGGTAGTGGAAAGTTTTATAGGAGAGTTCTCGGTCACTATAAAGGTTGAGGATGGAGGGGACGTCTGGTGCTTATTAGGGGTGTACGGCCCTAATCACTGCAGTAAGAGGGGGCTGTTTTGGGATGATCTTGCAGGGTTATGGAATTTATGTGGACAGAGATGGTGTGTGGGGGTGCTTTTAATGTCGCTAGATTTTTGACAGAGAAAAGCGGTGACAGCAACATCACAAGGAGTATGAGGATTTTTGATGAATTTATTAAGGAATTAAATTTAGTTGATCCGCCTCTCCATAATGCAAAGTTTACATGGTCAAATTTTAGAGAGGCACCGATTTGTTGTAGATTGGATCATTTCTTATTTTCAGAAGGTTGGTGGGAAGTTTTTCCTTTCGGGCGTCAAGAGACGACACTCAGAGTGGTTTCTGATCATTGCCCGATCTGTTTCAAACTAAACTGCCAAAATGGGGGCCTTCTCCATTTCGTTTCGATAACACTTGGTTTGAAAGTAAGGAATTGATTAGGCTTTTGAAAGGATGGTGGGAGGAGGAAGAAGTTAGTGGATGGGAGGGATACAAAACAATGAGAAAATTGAAGCTTTGAAAGATAAGGTGAAAAGTTGGGGTGTAGACTATTTGGGGGCTGATCACTTAGAGAAAAGGAAAATCTTAAAAAGGGTTGAGGAGATAGACGAAAAGAAGGAAGTCCCGAATGGGTTTCGGAATTGCAAGAGGAGAGGAGGGGACTAAAACAAAGACTTTTTAGCCTTATGGAAAGGGAGGATAGGGCTTTGAATTAAAGTGTAAGTCTATATGGGCTAGAGAAGGAGATGCGAACATGAAACTCTTTCATAGATTGTTAAGTGCGAGGAGAACAAGTAATACAATCTCAAAGTTGGAAATAGAAGAAGGGACATTGGAAGATGAGGAGGAGATCATAAAGAAGATTGGTGAGTTCTATGAAAAGTTGTACGACTCAGCGAGCAGAGATTTTATTGGAGTTGAAGTTTTAGATTGGAGTCCGATCTCTACAGTGGCAGCCGAGTCTCTGGACAAGCTGTTGAAGAGGAAGAAATTAAGTGAGCAATTTTCAGTTGCAATGGCAATAAGGCTCCCGGTCCAGATAGGTTCACTGTTTCATTTTTTTTTAAGAATGCTGGCCTTTTATGAAAGGTGATAGTTAGAAAGCTTTTGATGAATTTTGGAGGTCAGGGATTATTAATAAGGTCACCAACAAAACATATATCTGCCTCATCCCCAAAAAGGCCCAGTCATGCAGAATCAAAGATTTTAGACCAATAAGTTTGGTCTCAAGCCTATACAAAATCTTTTCGAAGGTGTTGTCGAATAGACTCAAGGAGGTGCTGGAAGAGACAATTTCTAAGTTCAAGGGGCTTTTGTGGCTGAGCGTTAGATTTTAGACCTTGTTTTGGTGGCCAACAAGGTGGTGGAGCATTATAGGTCATCAAGAAGAGAGGGGGTGGTGGTAAAGATTGATTTTGAGAAGGCCTATGATCATGTCGAATGGGGGTTTTTAGATTTTATTATGGAAAGAAAAGGGTTTGGTGCTAGGCGGAGGAAATGGATAATGGGCTGCATCGGATCGATCTCTTACTCGGTAATGATAAACGGCAGGCGAAAGGGGAAAATCGCAGCGTTGAGAGGGCTTCGACAGGGAGACCCTTTGTCACCGTACCTGTTCACTTTAGCAGTGACGTGTTAAGCAGGCTCGTTGACAAGGCTATTGAAGACTCTCTCTTTCAGCCGTTTAGTGTGGGCAGAACTAATATTAAGGTTAGTCAGTTATAGTTTACTGATGACACCCTTTTTTTTTTTTTAGTTCTCCAGAAGAGAATAGCCTGTCAAACCTCTCTTTGATTTTGGAGGTCTTCTATTTGATATCCGGACTGAAAATAAACTTGGAGAAAAGTGTAGTTTTGGGCATAAATTTGGAGGAAAATAAGCTATCTACATTAGCAGGAGTTATTGGTTGTTCTATTGGGTCGTGGCCAGTCAATTATTTGGGATTACCTTTAGGAGGAAATCCCCTGCAAGCTGCATTTTGGGATCCTGTGATTACTAAGGTGTCGAAAAGATTGGAGGGGTGGAAGAAAGCTTTCTTATCTAAAGGAGGAAGATTACTCTCATTCAGTCAGTTTTAGCATCTTTACCCATACACTTTTTATCAGTGTTTAAAATTCCTGTTGGAGTGGCAGATGCGATTGAGAAGCTAATGAGAGATTTTTTATGGGAGGAATTCTCATATGATAACTCGTCTCACTTGGTGGCTTGGGAACACGTGCATAAACCAAAAGAATTGGGAGGTTTGGGAATCGGAAACATCGGGAAGAAAACGAAGCCCTGCTAGCGAAATGGCTATGGAGGTTTCCGCTGGAATCAGAAGCGTTGTGGCATAAGGTTATTGTTGGGAAGTACGGGCTGAGTAGGAATGGTTGGGACTCAGGGTAAGCTGTGAGAGTGACATACAGATACCCTTGGAAATCAATTCTTTCAGTGGCTGATTTTTTTTCCAAAAGGGTTAAATGGAAGATAGGATCGGGCGAAATTGTTAAGTTTTGGGAAGATTGTTGGGGTGAGGGTGAACCTTTGTGTTCAAGATTTCCTGCCCTATATAGGATTTCCTCATTACAAGGGCAGCCAATTGTAAGATTTATCTCTGAAGACAATTCGCCGGCTCATGGAATTTTGGGTTCATAAGGAGACTAATGGACAAAAAAATGAGAGAGGCGTCAGAATTAACAACTATTTTGGAGAGGGTCAGAATTCATAGCGCGATTCAAGACAGCAGGGGGTGGAAGCTGGACACTAACGGGATATTCTCATTCAAATCACTTTTCAATTCATTGACATGTGATCCTTCATTTCTGCGATTCTCTTTCTTCGTAAATATATGGAAATCTCGGGCTCCCAGCAAAGTTAAAGTCTTCTATTGGTTCATTGCCCTTAACAAAGTGAATTCTCACGAGTCGTTGCAACGTTGAAGCCCATTTATTTCGATATCTCCGGGGTGGTGTCACTTGTGTAGGAATGATGGGGAGACGACTGATCACTTTTTTCTTCACTGTACTTATTCCAGAAAGATTTGGTCTCTCTTGCTTAGGGAGTTTGGTTTCCCTTGGGCGACTCCAACAAGATGTTCTGAAGTGATGATCTTTTCTTCTCCATCTGGATATAGTCAAAGGGGGTTGATAATGTGGAGGGCTGCGGTTTTAGCTATTTTTTGGGGTTTGTGGTTGGAGAGGAACAATAGAATTTTTGAGAACCAAAAGGAAGACGAAGAAGATCTTTGGGATAAAAAGAGAACTGGCATGGTTATATAACAAAGATCTGAGCCTTTTTATTTCCCTTTCTTAAAATGTTCTATTGAAAAAAAATTTCCCTGAGAATGATGGAAAATGCACAATAGTCCATTTAATTTTAGTAGTCTCGTCATGATAATTGGCAGTGGACTTCTCTACTAGTATATCATTTTGCATCTATGTCCAATGATGTGTGTTTCTTTTAACAATGTAGTTTAACTATGGACACTAGGTCTCCCTTTAGATTGAAACAAGATAATGATCCTTACACTTGAAGAATTAACTTAACAAGGTAAGAGAGATTCCTCCCTTTGATCTATGTAGGTGATACATACTCCATGGTCGAACATATTGATGGTGAAACCTAAAATTGTCATTCTTATTGAAATTTAACGACACCCACTTTCTGATAAAACTTCTAACTTCACAGATTACAATGCCTAGAGATGCTTTACACCACGGAGGTGTTGAGCACCGTGAGGTACATAATGCCTATGGATACTACTTTCACATGGCCACATCTGATGGGCTTCTAAAGAGAGGTGATGGGAAGGATAGGCCTTTTGTATTGTCGAGAGCATTTTTTGCTGGAAGTCAACAGGTCGGAGCAGTTTGGACAGGAGACAATACAGCTGAGTGGGAACACCTGAGGGTTTCAGTTCCTATGATTTTGACTCTTGGTCTTACTGGAATGTCATTCTCGGGTTAGAAACAGTCATTTAAATAGGATTTCTACGGCAATCATATTTCTTTATTAACTGGTGGCTCTATTATAATGTTCATGCAGGTGCTGATATTGGTGGGTTTTTTGGTAATCCCGAGACCGAGTTGTTAGTTCGTTGGTATCAAATTGGTGCCTTCTATCCATTCTTTAGAGCTCATGCCCATCATGACACAAAAAGAAGAGAACCCTGGTTATTCGGGTAGGAATTCCATAATCATTGAACTTCGTTATTCAATTCAGAAAACTGAAGTGTAGTCACTATAGCATGCGTTTGCCTACCTTTGAAAACTGAGAGATAAAAGTAAACTTTTTTTTTTTTTTGGGTTGTGTACTTAGTGAGATGACTATCATGGTTGCGTACTTGGACGTTGGTAATGTTACTTTTTTTTTTTTTTTTTTTTCCCTGTTATATATATTTTCTTATAAAAAAGCTTTTGCTGGAGTATGCTTTTTTTTTTTAAGATGCCTGAAAGTTTGTATTAACATTAGCAATACTATTTCCACAACCATGTTATTTCCTGTCAATTGTAGAGTACATCGGAAAAAGTTGGGTAAAGATGATTCTCAACTTTACTATAATTTCTGAATGGCTTTAAACTGGTTTGGTCACTGCATTTGTGGGTATTAGAGTTCTTTTAAGTTTTTGATCTTAGCAATATAGCTAACCTTCTGTGAAAATGATCATATTTGCAATGGTGAAAGATTTTTTTGTTCACATGCATGTACTCTTATCAGATTGTGTAGTCATTTGACCTGTTATCCACAATTAATATTTGCTTCTTCTTCTTCTTCTTCTTCTTTGGGCTGCTCTTTTGAGGGGTTGTGTACTTAGGGAGATGACTATCATGGTTGCGTACTTGGACGTTGGTAATGTTACTTTTTTTTTTTTTTTTTTTTCCCTGTTATATATATTTTCTTATAAAAAAGCTTTTGCTGGAGTATGCTTTTTTTTTTTAAGATGCCTGAAAGTTTGTATTAACATTAGCAATACTATTTCCACAACCATGTTATTTCCTGTCAATTGTAGAGTACATCGGAAAAAGTTGGGTAAAGATGATTCTCAACTTTACTATAATTTCTGAATGGCTTTAAACTGGTTTGGTCACTGCATTTGTGGGTATTAGAGTTCTTTTAAGTTTTTGATCTTAGCAATATAGCTAACCTTCTGTGAAAATGATCATATTTGCAATGGTGAAAGATTTTTTTGTTCACATGCATGTACTCTTATCAGATTGTGTAGTCATTTGACCTGTTATCCACAATTAATATTTGCTTCTTCTTCTTCTTCTTCTTCTTTGGGCTGCTCTTTTGAGATAGTTTGGGTTGCAGAGATTTATTAGTTTTTTCTTCTCGGTCGAGTTTGAGCCAAAGAGGATTGATATTATGTTCTTCTTTGGGCTGCTCTTTTGAGAGAGTTTGGGTTGCAGAGATTTATTAGTTTTCTCTTCTCGGTCGAGTTTGAGCCAAAGAGGATTGATATTATGGAGGGCTGCAATTTTAGCTGTTTTTTGGGGTATTTTGTTGGAAAGAAATAACCGCCTTTTTGAGGAAAAGGAAGAAGAAGAGTCTGTTCTATGGGATAAAATAAAGTATTGGGTTTCGTTATGGGTTTATCGGGATAAAGATTTTGGGAGGCCTTTGTTTTCGGACCTATTTAGGAGTTGGACTCCTTTTTTATAGTCCTGTCCTAGTTTTCTAGTTTCTGGTTTGTTTTTGTTTTGATTGTTCGGTTTGCTGGATCCTGGTTTGGTGGTGGAGGTTCTCTCTTCCTCCTTTCTCCCATTCTCCCAGTTTCCCTTTTTCTCATCATTAATAAATCTTCTCGTTTCTTTTTTTTTTTTTTTTTTTAAAAAGTCCTTCTTTGCATGTATTCTTTTCAGATTTTGTAGTCATTTGTCCTGTTGTCCGCAATTAATATTTGTTTTCTCATTCATTACAGAGAAAGAAACACAGAGCTTATTAGAGATGCCATACACATGCGTTATATGTTGCTACCGTATTTTTACACATTATTTAGAGAGGCAAACACGAGTGGTGTTCCAGTTGCTCGTCCATTATGGATGGAATTTCCTTCTGACAAAGCAACTTTCAGCAACGATGAAGCTTTTATGGTCGGGGACAGTCTCTTGGTGCAAGGAATCTACACAGAGGTATATCCATACCTAGTCTTTTACTGTATAGATCGATATCTGTTCTCCCTCTCTCTCTTCTTCATAACTTGATTTTTGTTCCAGTTTGTAATTACTCGTTTTCAGTCTCTAGCAGCTACGGCATGCATATCTGTTTGTTTGGTTTTACCCTCTGTTGCTTGTTGCTTGTTTTTTCTTTTTTCTTTTTCAATAATTTACTTTGATGATTTTTTCCCCTTTCTTGCCCACTACTGATATTCTTCTGGTGTTAAATTGTGTTGTTTACTGTCCGTTCTACCAGCGAGCAAAGTATGTGTCCGTTTACATGCCTGGGAAAGAGTCTTGGTATGATTTTAGAACTGGAGCTGTATACAAGGGAAGTACAACCAACGAATTGGAGGCCACTGAAGAAACTGTTCCTGCATTCCAAAGAGCTGGAACTATCATTCCTAGGAAAGACAGGTTTCGTCGAAGCTCCACGCAGATGGTGAATGATCCATACACTCTGGTAATACTCCATCATTATGTTCAGAGACAACCTACACTTTGTAAAGATATATCCCCACACTTAGTGACGGATCCAAGAATTGAATTCAGTGGGGGCGTAAACATTTTCCATTCAAGAAAACTTCACAAATGGATAACATTAAATTGCATACCTTATACAACGTAAAATTGATCATTGCGAACTTGCGCTAGCAATCTTGTAAGAAGGCTTGTGAATTCAATACCTTTGGCATGTGCACCAGTAAACATTTTCACTTTAGTGGGTAAAAAATAACAAAAATGGTTTGTCGCTATTGTTACTGTGTATGGAGGTTTGTGAAGAGTGAAGCCTTGTGAGATGGAGAGAGAGAAGAAAAACAAATATAAAATAAGAGACTCAAAGAGTTAGTCTACGTGCGAAAAATGGAAAAGAAAATGAAAAAACAAAAAAGAATACCAAACATCAGTGAAAAGAGTGGTGAAACCCAGTTTAAGGGGGAAAAAAGAAGAAATAGTGGCAGTAAGTAGTATGTAATAGGACAAAATGATGGTGTTGTATAAAACCAAAGTGACATTCAAAAGAGAGAGAAAAAGAAAAGAAAAGAACAAGTCCAATGCATCAATTTTTTGAAGCCCAAGATCGTAACCAGAAAATAAGAAAAGCATACTGATTGCCAAAATTACTGGGGGCACACTTAAATAATACATAAAGATCAATTACACATAATTCTTTTTAATTTTCTTAGGGGGGCACACTTAAATAATACATAAAGATCAGTATTCTTCTTTATGCAATACTAAAATTTCGTTTTCATGATTTTTCTTAACATGCTTTGTTAGGACGTGCTACTTTATTATTTATGTTTTGCTTGGCTCCCAGGGCGTTGCAAGTAGATTTAGTTTATGTTAAACAATAACGTGTATGTACGTTAATATGTATACACAATAAACAGGTATAAACTTATATCTATCTATGTGCCTATATATACCTATGCACATTATGCTAGGTTCAAGCATAAGAAAAGAAGAATTGTGATAAAGAAAGGTTTCTATTTGCAACCATAGCTCATGGCACAATGACCTAATTGTTTTTAGGCAATGCTGATAGACCTTGATAGCTAATACCTGATTCAAATGGGAGGAAAGGGTAGCCAATGGTGGTTTCCTTTTCAATTAAGAACACTTGCCTCGTTTTTTTTTTTTACTCTGTCAATGCAGATATGTTCCCTCAAGAATAATGTTCAAGCCTAGATGGAGCATTGATGTCCTCAAGTGTTTTTTTATTGTAAATTCGTGATTTCTTTCATATTAAGCATTTTTGCATCAGAGTTTAGGCGCTTTCTTTCTTGATAATTGCGACCTTTTGGGTGATTTGCCTAGAGAGAAACCAAAGGATATTTGAAGAGGAGTTGTTGTTTGAGGATTTATTTGAGAAGGCTACATTTCTTGCTTCTCTTTGGGCTTCTACAGATTCTTCTTTCAAAGACATTCCCTTATCTCTAATAAAGTTTAGTTGGGAAGATATTTTGGTGTAGGTTAGAGTAAGATTTGTCTTGTACTCAAACTGGGGTAGTTTTGTCTAGAGTTTTTTTATTTGGATGTTGCGTTTCCATTTTTTTATTTTCCTTTTTCGTTTCTTTGTTTTTCCTGGATGGATACCTCATCCATTCAGATTATCTTCATTTGCAAAGTTTTTCTGTTATCAATGAAATTTAGTCGTTCCTTATTTATATATATATAAGAAAAATGTTGGATTTTAATTGCTAACTTAGTCTGCCCCCATGAGTTATTGAGCCTTACTTCTAGATTTGGTCTTCACTATGTATGATATTCAAGGGCCATATGTTTTTCTAATTGTGTTGTGGTTGTAGTCCATTTTGTTATGTTCATATTTTTCTTCATAGATCAAGTACCTTTCTTTTTTTGGTTGGAAACTTTCACCTTAACATATTGTCGATATTTGAACAAGTTCGGATCCTAGAAGGCCTTATGAAGTTTTAGCTTGAAATATGAGAGGATTGAATGCTACTACTTGAAGCCTCCTGACATGAACATTTTGCAGTAAAGTCATGATACTACGTCTACCTTGTAAGACTGGATCTTTTCCCCCCCTTATTTTGGTAGTTAATCAGCAAATGTTTGGTCATTTGTAGGTAATTGCTTTGAATAGCTCACAAAAGGCTGAAGGAGAACTGTATATCGATGATGGCAAAAGCTTCGCCTTTACACAAGGGGCCTACATCCATCGCCGCTTTGTATTCGCAGATGGCAAGCTTACATCGCTAAATGTGGCACCTGCTGCCCTAGGCGGAGCACAGTTTTCTTCCAAATGTGTTATCGAGAGAATTGTAGTGTTAGGACACTCTGGTGTTCCGAAAAGAGCTCTCATTGAACCAGAGGAAAAAACTGCAGAAATTGAACTGGGGCCACTTGACCTTAAATCAAGACGTGGCTCTGACTTCATTACAATCCGCAAACCTAATTTGCCAGTCGCTGGTGATTGGACAATAAAAATTTTGTAAGACCCTTTGTGATGTCCCATTGAGTAACTTGGATACTCTATTGATAGGAGGGACTTATCATCATATTTCGGAACATAGAGGTAGAAATGAGTCCATACGCAATTTCAACTCTCGTTCTCTATTGTTTGGAGCTTATGAGGGTGTCACTACATGATTTTACTGGTTTTAGACATGATTTTACTGGTTTTAGGCATATGAATTCCTATATGGCATTTCATATTTACAAGTAGAATTAAAACTTCCGAATTCTGCCTATATGCCTTGATATGATTGATTGTTTTTGGACACCACTTTTGGCCCTTGCAGTTACTTTATTGCAATGAGAAAATGAGAGATTTGGCATCTATGTAAAAGCGTAGGTGGTGAAGTATGAACCCGATTTTAGACAATTGCAGAATACACGTAAAATTGCTGTGTAAAAAATTATGCTTGTATTTTTAGAAGCTGCCGGACTTGCCATCTCAAAATTGGTTAACAAAACAGATGGATCTTCACATTTGAATCAATTCGACAGAAATCATCATGACTAAGATGGCAATTATTAAGCTTCTTTGATCCACCAAAGTGGGATTGAAGAGAATGCTTCAGTCATTCCCATAGCTAGTATTAGTTGATGGTTTACGAAACGATTTCGGATGCGGAAGTGTATAAATACAGATAATGTATAATAAAAAATTTTATGAAACTTTTAAATACTCTATAGAATATATTAATTTACACAATAACAAATTAATCATATTATTTTATAAACATATATATACCTAGCGGACAATTAGGCTGATAATTTGAATTCTTTGACCTCGAACAATTTAAACTCCAAACCTTCTTAGAAAAACTCGAATATTTCTCATCTAGTCCTTAAAATCTGCAAGACTAAAAATGTGGGTTCTAATATAGAAATATCGGATTTAATCACTCGCAAATTTGTCTTCCACTACTACCAACGTATGTGTGTGATGGAAGTGATTTGAAGAAATTTTCTTCTCTTTTCTCTCTCCTAAAATTTGGCCACAAATGAGAATAGAGAGCAAAAATTGTATTCTCCTATTTTCTATTGTCTCCTATTTATAGAATCCTATGAGAACTTTATTTTAAAGTCAAAACATTAGATAATTGGTTGTCACTTTATTTTAAATCCCATTTAAAATATAATTTTCTGTTTAATTTGGAGATAAAAAATTCTCTCCCTTTCCTTATCTGTAATGACCAGCCACACCACAAGAATGTCTCCGGCGGTTGGCGTAATTATCAGCAAGGAGGAGAAGATAAATTCCTCCTATTTATCCAATTTTCAATTTTAACTCAAATTCAAATTTAAATAAAGTTAATACTTTAATTTCCTTTTGAATTTAATTGGAAAACTTGTCAAACAAGTAAACCAAATATGTTAAAGAGAAAGTAACCGAGTCCAAGTAAGATTCACTCTGTGCCACACGCTCCTTACACCTACCTGTGTCTGGGTGTGTGGCCTCCTATGGTCCTAGCACAATGTGTTCAAAATTAAATAATCGAGTGATATTAAATCCCAATAATTCATCTTGTCTCGTAAATAATACAAGGATGACGCGTGGACCATGGACCTATAATTTTGAGCTCCAATAAAAATTAATAATTAATTAAACTCTTTAATTAATTAATTAATTCTATCAATTCTAAAAGTTACTCCACTAAAAACTTGGAATTGCACTCTCAAAATTATAGACATAATTTACTTTTAAGAACTTGAAGTGTCCATTCGATATAGTCACTACATATAAATCAATCCTCCATAAATAATTCATAATTAGAACTAGATAAAATCCGTTAACCTCTCTAATTACATCTTTATCCTTGAGTACTATTGATTCTTTAATGCAAAGTATATGCATAAAACAAATTCATGAATATGAGCTCGTTACATATTCAAGTACAAAATCAATCCTTCAGGGAATTATTTATCTACTTCTTCAAAGAAGAAGTAATGGATTCCATCTCGTATATTAGTATTCTCGACTATACATTTCATCATGTTTCCAAAATACAAGGAATATAATTTATAATTTTGAAACCCAAACTGAGTAAGTCAAAAAAACACGAATCCATAAATAAGAGTTTGCTAATAACTCAGAATTAAGATCATTCTATATATGACCATCGATAGACTCAAATTTAATTTTCTATACTTAACGAAAATTATCAGAGAATCAAATTGTGTACGTGTCTCAGTTCTATATAATCTCATTATGTGTAATACATTAATTCAATATCCCTTATATTAATGATGTGCATAACATCATTCCATTCTTAATGAGAATGATGCATATTAGTAATGTTTTAATTAAAGATTCCATAACTTTAATTAAATTCATTACGCACATATTTTGATCATTATCTTTAAATATTATCCTCTCATATATAACACTTATGTACAAAATTTAAGGTTACATAAATAATTACGAAAATTTCAATGATATTCATAAAATATTCGATAGTACATACACATAATGAAAGAACTATTTTATTAATTAAATAATAAATATTCTAATATTCTCATGCTTTAAGAACACTATTCCTCACAATCTCCCACTTGTCCTAAAGCAGGTGCGACATGTCCCTAATTTCAAATCCTTCTCGGTGTCTGTCAAAGACATTTAGCGGTAATGTCTTCATGAATGGTTTACGAGGTTGTTCTCCGATGGGATCGCCTCGCTTGACTATATCTCTGATCAGGTGATATTTCCTCTTTATATGATTTGCACTCTTATGACTTCTTGGTTCTTTTCAATTTGTTACTGCTCCATTGTTATCACAGTACAACTTAATTGGTTGATCCATCCCTAGAATGACTTCTATATCAGTTAAGAACTTACGGAGGGAGGTTGCTTCCTTTGCGGCTTCACAAGCTGCAACATATTCAGCTTCCATGGTAGAGTCGCTACCAGTACAACCCAATGATCTAATCGTGGGTTATACTTGTAGCGACTGACGACTCCCACTATATAACAGATATCTGGTCTAGAACACATCATGGCATACATAAGGCTTCCAACTACAGATGCGTATGGGTATTTTCTCATGTCCTCTTTCAGAGTTTTCAGACATTGCTCCTTTGAAAGATGAATACCATGCCTAGAAGGCAAATTTCCTTTCTTGGAATTTTGCATCGAGAATCTGACAAGCACCTTGTCTCTTGTGGAGTTTTCAGACATTACTCTTTTGAAAGATGAATACCATGCCTTGAAGGAAAATTCTCATTCTTGGACTTTTGCATTGATAATCTAACAAGTACCTTGTCAATATACGATGTATGAGATAAAGCCAACATCTTTTTCTTGCGATCTCGAATAATTTTGATCCCAAGAACATAGATTGCCTCTCCCAAATATTTCATTTTGAATTGGTTAGCTAACCACTTCTTTACGTCACTTATGAATTCCACATCTTTCTCAATGAGTAGAATGTCATCCACATAAAGAACTAAGAAGACCACTTTCTTGTCCTTTATGTACTTGTAGACACATGGATCATCTTGGTTTAATCCTTTAATAGTCTTATCAAACCGGATGTTTCATGATCTAGATCTCTGCTTTAATCCATAAATGAAACCTTGCACTTTGCAGATATTCTGCTCTTGGCCTTTGACTATAAAACCTTCTAGCTGGTCATATAACTGGTTTCCTCAAGATACCTATTTAGAAAAGTTGTCTTGACATCTATTTGCAATATCTCATAATAGAAATATGCTGATATGGCCAGGAGTATCCGAATAGATTTAAGCATGGCTACCGACGAGAAAGTTTCGTCATAGTCAACTCCCTTTTTCTGGGTATAACCTTTCCCTACAAGCCTTGCTTTATAAGTATCTACTTTTCCATCCGTTCCTCTTTTTCTCTTAAAGATCCACTTGCATTAGATGGGTTTTACCCTTTCAGGTAGATTTAAAAGTTGCCAAATTGAGTTATAGTACATAGACTCAATCTTGATTTTCATAGCGTCTTGCCATTTTTCCTTGGCAGCATCGTACATCATTGCTTTAAAGGTCGATGGATCATCTTTGTCATCATTAGCAGTGATGATTTGTGCTTTCTTGGTATATCGGTTAGGTAATCTGATTACCCTCCCATTACGACGGGGTCTCACGGATGCTTAACTAGGAACAGTGGTCTGGTCCCTGTTAGTTTCAACAATTGTTGCCAACTATGGTCCAATCATATCGAAAATGAACCATTTTAAAACAACTTTGCTTCTGGGCTTTAAATCTATCATATAGTCATGCTCTAAAAAAGTGAAATTTGTCGAAACAAACACCTTTTGACCTTGAGGGCTATAGAGTAGTCCTCATCTTGTCCCTTGTGGATATCCCACAAATAGGCAAACTTCGAAACGAGGTTCCAACTTCCCAGTCTTTGCCTTCAGTACATGTGCCGGACATCCCCATATGCGAATGTGCCTTAAACTTAGTTTTTGACCATTCCATAATTCTAGGAGTGTCTTAGATATAAACTTAGATGGAATGAGGTTCAGACTATACACGACTGTCTTTAGGGCGTATCCTATAACGAAGTAGGTAGCTAAGAATAACTTAACATGAATTGTACTATCTCTCACAAAGTCTGATTTCTCCTTTCTGCAACGCCAATCTGTTGTGACATTTTAGGAGCGGTAAGCTGCAAGAGTATAACGTTCTCAGTCATGTAGTCTATGAATTCTATATACAAGTATTCACCTCCCCGATTCAATTAGAGTACTTTGACTGGTTTACCTAATTATTTTCAATTTATGCATGGAATTCTTAAAACTTTTCAAAAGTTTAAGCTTTCTTTTGCATTAGATAAACATAACCATACCTAGAATAATTGTCTATAAAAGTCACAAAATATTCGTAACCTCCTCGTGCTCGGACATTTAGAGGTCCACATACATCTGAATGTATCAACTTAAGGAGTTCTTTGGCTTTTTCACCTTTAGTTGAGAAAGGTCTCTTAGTCATCTCACCTTCCAGACAAGATTCGCAGACTGGAAGCTTACTAACTTTTAGTTCACGTAAAGGACCATCCTTTACTAGGTTGCATGTCATTCCCATTAAAAATGGAACGAGATTATCCGCATCGTTGATACGGAGATATATCGAATGAGTGTATTTTATATAATGAGATTATGTAGGACTGGGACAAGACACAATATGAATTTTTGATAATTTTCGTTAAGTATAGAAATTTTAATTGAATCTATCGATGCTCATATATATAATGATTTTAATCCTGAGTTATTAGT